AATATGATGTAATCATTGTTTCCTGTAAATATTTCCTTGGCGATTGATGCCAAGTTCAGCTCCTTACTCCTTTTCATTCTTTTTTCCTACGCGTGAAAATAATCACACGCCAAATATACAGTTAGTGAGCCAATTATGGTAACATTTAGGGCAATGCAACAAATAATTGCAATGAGTGACAATATTCAATGCATGATGATCATTTTACAAGTATTCCAACCTTATTGTTGAGGTCGGCTGTGCCACCTAAAAATATACTTTGTGTCTTTGTTAGATACTCTGAGGCCTGCACTATGTGCCTTCGCTAGACACTCCAATGCTACCTAATATGCAACTGCTAGACTCTATGGCATGCCATTAATACCACTGCCCTTAATAACATACTTGGGCATATAGTTTATTTTTATTTGATTCCTCAATTGAAAAGTATATCAATACCATTTAACATTTGGGCAGTTCATACCCGAAATAACATTTACGATAAACATCATATACATTCATGATAATATCATGTGTAATAAATAGGGATCAATACATTTCATATTCATCTTTAAAAATTTTAGAATATATCAATTATATGATAAATTCCATAAATATCATAATGATAAAATTAAGGTAGACTTATCGCAAGTCCCACCCAATGATGTATAAACATCTATGTATATTATGCATGCATTTCACTTGTTTTTATACTATATAAGCAAGTCATAATATAAACCTCACTAAGTTTTAACTTTATTCTTTTGCTTTCAATTTGTTTTGATCCCAATTTTTGTGACCATTTAATTTTCTGGCAGTTTTCAGTTCCTTCACAGAAATATTATTCTATATTAATCGACTCATTGAAAAATTATATAATTAATACAATGGAAACTAGACTCGAATATAAATCTAACCATGTAAGGTACTCCTTCTAGTTCAATTTATACAATGTATGGGAATTTTCAAATTTGACTGACATAATCTGTTTTGAGCATAATCTGTTACCCTGGTTTCTAACCTATCCTCAGTTAAGAAATTCATATCCTTTTGTATATACCTCGAAATCAGTTTCTATTTTTTTTATAAACAAAACTAGACTAGTACACTAATTCAATGTTATAAAAATCATCATCTAATCATTTTTTAGAATTTATGGTGATTTTCTAAACTTACTGTTCAGAACAAAAATCTACGAAAATTTCACCAATTTTCATTTTTCAGCATATTCACTAATTCTATTAGCTCACCAAGTGCCCATGTATGCATAAACCAAAAATAACATAGCAATTAGGAGTCAATTTTTACCATAGAATCTTCATCATTGGATCATCGCAAGCCAATGATTGTTCAATAACATAAGTACAAATTAAATCTGCACTCACTTGGTGTCCTTAGCTTGCAACCTTCCTTAGGATTTTCCATTTCATCCTTAAGCTTCTCCTTACCTTTAATAATATTTGATATCGATTTCAAGCACTCAATCTAAATGAACATCATTACCAAACATATACAAATCTGTTAAGTCTAAATGAACATCATTTCACACATGACACTCTTAGTCTTGTAAATCCCCGATTTTAACAATGTTATATATATATCGTTAATTTTCTGAGATCATTCGGAGTCATTCGATACAACTATAAAAATAAATGCAATGTCTGGTAATATCTCTATTTTAATTTCTTCATCTCAATATAAAAATAGCCTAGGTAACTTTTACAAATACACATTTGGATACTCTCAAACAGTTGGGATATTTTATATCTTAACCTTGATAGCTTGAGTATCCACCTCCTTTACTAGGAAGGTTTGACAATCCTAGTAGCAATAACTTTATAGTAGTTGAAGTTAAAATCACATTAGAAATCAAATTTACCCTCCTTCTCTACCAAAAATATCTCAAAACTTTTCGAGTTCTATAAAATTCAAACACTCTAAGCGATAATTCATTGCAACATGGTAGGGGGTAATCAATCCATTCTAAAAATTACATTTGAAATGTAACTCTATCAAGTCCATTATAAATCTACACTTTGAATCCTTACGAGACAGTTACTGTCTATAAATATAACTCACCCTCGCACTCTGGCGTAAAGGGTTTGTCGCATACATATCACTTAAGATCAACTCTATTAGAATGTTCCATTTTTCAATCAATACTGTTCTTATGAATAAACGATGGTTTTCCTTAATCCAACATTGAAACTTCCTATTGTGTTAATACGTCATCTTATTAGACTAAACAATAGAATTGTGACTACCATCATTACTATCACTATTAGCTTATTAATATTATTTTAAACATCATGTTTGATTTCTTACTTCAAACCCTCGATTATACACATCTTATACATGTACTACACTTATCCACTTTCATTAGTAAAGATTGGCATCAATCGAACCTTACAAACACCAGATCAGTAACACTGACATCCTAGTGGCACATATACACTCTTTGACACAAAAACAAGCTCGTTTAGTCATAAAAAACTAAACCTATAATTTTGGTACCAATAAATGTAACACCCATAACCCGTATAAGAACTAATAGAGTTACAGATGTCACATTAGAAATTCACAACATTTCTTAATTGAACTAAGTAAAATTTTGTTTCCTTCACAAATTCCATATTTGTAACCATTTATATTATAAAATAAATAATTAGAGGAATTCAAAACTTAATATTTCAACTTCTAATTCACGTATGTTCTCAGGTACTAACAAGTGGTTCTTCTTTGTTCACATAATAAATAAAAATGCATGGTTTAAAAATATAATTAATTTTCCTGTAAATATTTCCTTGGCGATTGATGCCAAATTCCATAAATATCATAATGATAAAATTAAGGTAGACTTATCGCAAGTCCCACCCAATGATGTATAAACATCTATGTATATTATTATGCATGCATTTCACTTGTTTTTATACTATATAAGCAAGTCATAATATAAACCTCACTAAGTTTTAACTTTATTCTTTTGCTTTCAATTTGTTTTGATCCCAATTTTTGTCACCATTTAATTTTCTGGCAGTTTTCAGTTCCTTCACAGAAATATTATTCTATATTAATCGACTCATTGAAAAATTATATAATTAATACAATGGAAACTAGACTCGAATATAAATCTAACCATGTAAGGTACTCCTTCTAGTTCAATTTATAAAATGTATGGGAATTTTCAAATTTGACTAACATAATCTGTTTTGAGCAGAATCTGTTACCCTGGTTTCTGACCTATCCTCAGTTAAGAAATTCATATCCTTTTGTATATACCTCGAAATCAGTTTCTATTTTTTATAAACAAAACTAGACTAGTATACTAATTCAATGTTATAAAAATCATCATCTAATCATTTTTTAGAATTTATGGTGATTTTCTAAACTTACTGTTCAGAACACATATCTTCGAAAATTTCACCAATTTTCATTTTTCAGCTTATTCACTAATTCTTTTAGCTCACCAAGTGCCCATGTATGCATAAACCAAAAATAACATAGCAATTCGGAGTCAATTTTTACCATAGAATCTTCATCATTGGATCATCGCAAGCCAATGATTGTTCAATAACATAAGTACAAATTAAATCTGCACTCACTTGGTGTCCTTAGCTTGCAACCTTCCTTAGGATTTTCCATTTCATCCTTAAGCTTCTCCTTACCTTTAATAATATTTGATATTGATTTCAAGCACTCAATCTAAATGAACATCATTACCAAACATATACAAATCTATTGAGTCTAAATGAACATCATTTCACACATGACACTCTTAGTCTTGTAAATCCCCGATTTTAACAATGTTATATATATATCGTTAATTTTCTGAGATCATTCGGAGTCATTCGATACAACTATTTGATCTTGATTTCAAGCACTCAATCTTAATGAGCATCATTACCAAACATATACAAATCAAACCAAATGATAGAATATTACTAAAATAGGCATACATTAGAAAATAAATTCCTAATAACTCTTCCGATGCTTATTCGATACAACTTCCATGTCACAATATAAATTTTGAGCTTAACACTTTTAATTGACCATTCAAATTCCATTTAATCCAAATTTCACATAACTTTTTCACTTAATGTAACACCCCTAACCCATACCCGAGCTGTCACATTGACTTTTCAAAACATATGTAATTAACAAATAAGAACAATTTAGAATTTAATCAAGAAAAAAAACTATAAACCGTATGTCACTACAGTAAAACAAAGTTTTAGCGGCATTTTTTAGTCATATAACGGCGTTTTAAGTGCCGCTAAAAGCACATGCGGCGATAGTAAAAATGTCGCAAGAAGCACCAGCCATACTAGCTTCGCTAAAGTTAGCGGCGTTTGAGAACAAAAAACGCAGCAATAAGTCAAGATCTATCGCGGCATTTTTGGAAAAAACGTCGTAAAAAGTCGATATCTATAGCGATGTTTCTGGAAAAAACGCCGCAAAAGCTCATATCTATAGCAGGGTTTTCATAAGAAACTCCGCAAAAGGTCAGATCTATAGCGGCATTTTCAGAAGAAACGTCGCAAAAGGTCAGATCTATAGCGGCATTTTTGGAACAAACGCCGCAAAAGCTCAAATCTATAGCAGCGTTTTTGGATACAAACACCGTAAAATGTCATCTCTATAGCTGCATTTTTTGATATAAACGCCGCAAAAGATCTCGTTATAGGAAAAAATAACCATTAATATTTTTTTTGATGCAACTTCCAATTATTCAGATTCTCGCTGATGGTAAATGGTAAGCCATTTTAAATAAATACATAATAGTAGCACCTTCCAAAATACATCAAATACATTGTAACACTTGAAAACCAAATATAGGATAAGGAAGCAATAATCAGAAAATGGAACAGTATTCACAAAGAGAAAAATGAACAAGATTCCAAAAAAATTGAAGAAGCAAATATTCAACCCACAAGCACAATATTTTCTTAGAATCACCAAAAATTCCAATCTTCTTTAACAGAAGCAATTCCAAACATTACAACCACAAATTTAAATAACATTCACAAAATCAGTAACTTGTACCTGGTGCAATATTAATGAGAAATATTCGAAATGTATTTCTACCAAGGCCTGACAGTTTCACTAACTTACCTCTTAGTACAAACTGCATAAATTTCATCAATGAAGACAATTGAAGGGGAAAGATCATCAACAACTCTGAAGAGTTCCCTAACTAATTTTGGGCCATCTCCTAAGTACTTCTGAATTAATTCACTTCCAACAACACGTAAGAAAGTCATTGATGTAGAATTAGAAACTGCCTGGAATAATGTAAGTGACAAAACAAGCTCAGGTATATTTTATAAAGCAGATAAAACCTGCTCAACCATGTGATACCAGTTTAAACAAGGTCTCATGGACAATGTAAAAAATTATTAGCAATTGCATATTACACGCAAAATCACAAGTCCATGCTATCCCTCTACTCCAAATTTTAGAAGCTTATCATGTTGTCCAGACATGTTTTTCCTCCCAACCAAACAACTTGCATGGTAAGAAAAATGTCTTTCTGGAGATAAATGAAAACACACCTTTGCAAGCAAGGTCTTGCCTTTCCCAGGCTCTCCATACAAGATGAATCCTTTCGAAGGTTTGATACCAATGTCCTCATATAGTTCAGGGTGAGTCAAAGGGAGCTCAACTGCCTCTTTAATCTCCTGTATTTGAGCATCCAAACGTCCTATATCTGCATAAGATTCCAATAGAGCCTTTTCGACCTTCATCACTGATACTATGGGATCAACTTCATCTTGCAGAACTCCAACAGCAGAAAGAACCTGAGAACATACAATAACCTAGCATGAATTTCCTTCCAAGAATACAAGAAATATCAAACATAATGCCTTAAAGTTGCTTACAATCCAGTCAAATGAGATGCAGAACCCTTAAATAGAAGAAGAGGTATCTGATTTACCCTGTCAAGATTTATAGACCCAAACAGTACACCCAACCATAGGAATATCACCAACTATGATAGAAAACTTGATAAGCAAATACCCATCATGGGCTTGCTATCAATCATCAGTCACTCAAATTTATTTGAGATAACTTCTAGTTTGAGATCTAAAGAATGAATTGAACTCATTTATGAATTTAGCTTTGATTAAAGGTTCAAATTTTAAAGCTCGTCAATCTAAGCTAAAGCAATCATATGATTAAAATCCAGTTACTTGTTTATTCAAATTTCACAAGATATCTAACATATATGAAAATTTAGCAACCATAATTCTAAAATCTGGATAACAACATTTTCTATTATTTTACAGCTACACAACCAAAATACCATAATTTCCCTAGCATAGACTCTAAATGCAAATTAAAGAATTCATTAATCTATTAGCTAAAAGAATTCTTATATCGTTTTCCTCTAAACTCTCTAATAAAGACAAAGTAACCATAAACTAAAACAAAAACAATAAAGATTGAGACTTTAATTACCTTATTGTGCATCAAAATAGCACATCCAGGCTCCAACAGATCAATACCCATAAACATATAACCCGATCAATACCCATAATCCAGTTCCTTGGGAAAAACAAAAAACAACCGGGAAACAAAATTTATGTAAGCTGGTTGGTGTGGAAATAAACGGAGATAGTTGTTGAAGTCTGGGAACTGAGAGTAGTGCTGAAGCTGTTGCCAAATCTGAGATTTATCAACCAAAGAAGATGGCAAAAATAGAACATTAATTTGTTGAGACCACAAATGGATAGATCGATGTACTTAGGAAGAAAACTTCTACAATAATAACAGCCAAATCAACCAAAATCATGCCTATCTAGAACCTTAGTTTACTGCAAAAAGTAATTTGTGTCCATGGATTAGTAAGAACAAGACCCGTTTCCCCTCTAATTTATTACAGAACCAGATACCTCAAGATTCCAGATATAAGTCAACATCTAAAATGTATCAGCATCTGTTGTAATGTTTGAGCTATTTTGCATGCCACTGATGCATGATAAGGATTGTCTTAGTTATAGGAAAAATAGAAGGTTACATACCTCTCCTGTAAATTGCACAGTTGTATACTTGTTGTCGATTCCAATATACTTGTTTTCGATTCCAGATGTTCCTTCAAATACCTAACCAAAGTGCCACGTAAGTAGAGTATACTATAAAGAAACAGATCCTCTATTAATGAAATCACTGCATCAAACCTTGCACCATAATATAAGCCTCAAATATTGCAAACCTTGCACCATAATATAAGCCTCAAATATTGCATGGTGAAGAAGTTGACATTATTCCTTTTGGCATGAACACATAACAGGAATTCATAGTTATAAAGGAATGCTAAAGAAACTAAGAAGGAAATTACCTGAACAAAAGCCTTTTCCCCATTAACTTCTAGGACTTGACCACGTCTAGTTGTTCCATCCCCTAAATGAATATTAACTATTTCTTGAAACTTAGGGCCCTATAAAAAGCATGAACCCCAAAATGAAGAAAAGTTGAAATCAAAACTATAAAAGATTGACAACAGTAATAGCTATGTTTCTTGGACTCGGATGTAAGTGTCTGATACAAGTATGTATTCGACAAGAGTATGTTTATTTTTCTAAGTTTCCCATGTACTTTAAGGGTTCTGAAAGGGTCATATCAACATTCCTATGTCTAGATATGCTTTGGATTCAGGTATCAAAACCAGATACTTCACGAAGTGAATATTCAAAGCAACATAGGTTACTAGATAATGAGTGAGAGAAACAGAATTTGACTTCACTTTATCAAGGATTACCAATGGCTCCGTAACTCCGAAATAGTTCTATGTTCTATAATTAACTCAAGAAAATAAAGATGGTTATTAGTGATAACACTTCTTTCATGCAACGGATCCCTTCTTATTGCAACACAGGTGGTAGTTTAACCAAAGTGTTATCAACAATTTCTCTCTCGTTATTAAACGGAACATTCAAATCATATAGGAAACATTAATTTTAACATAAGCAAATCGAGTTGCTTATAATGATCGTGCAGCTGATATAAAGCAAGAAAGTTTACCCATGCAAATTTCTAGTGTTTCATCCTCCATCTTATTATTTTTTTCTGCCATACCCATCTACACCAGAAGGAGAAAGAGATTTAATTATTGGGAGAAAATAAAATAAATAAGTAAACAAAATATGATTAAAACAAAAGACGAGATTTCCAGTCTCAACCACTCCAAAAAATTATCTAGAAACTTGAAAATTAGTTAGACATGTCAGGCTTCATTCTCTCCATCACTTTTTTGATTATTTAAAACACACCGTTAATCTTCGTACAATCTACCAATATATATTAATCACGTCATTGTAAAATCAGAGAACCAAAGTTGTGTTCAAAATAGATAGTTAAATTCTGCCTCGCCTAACTAAACTAAAAAAGCAAAGTGACAGATCATTGAGCTTGAATAGTTAGTAATGGTTCAGATTATAGTTGAAATTTAAAGTTGAAGTTCCTTTATCTTCCTTCAATTTTTCATTGGCCAAACCGAATCCCAGAACCAGGTAACATTTCTAACAAAGAAACTTAAATAATAAATACTTCTTATATTAAGAATCGATCAAAAACAAATAAATGCAAAAAATTTAAATATAGCGAAAAAGATAAATGTAAAATCAGTAGGACGAACGAATCGAGTAGAACTGGATACTGTAAAATCGGATTAAATGAATAAAACTGCAATTAATTGGTGGGAACTTACCTCTGTGAGTGTGTGATCGGATTAAATGAATAAAACTGCAATAAATTGATGGGAACTTACCTTGGTGTGGGTAAATTATTTTAGATAATGGTATTGGGAAAAAGAATTTGTGACATAATGGTTCGGAAGAATTATTTCAGTAGGGTATTTAAAAATCAGAATTTGGGATCAACATGAAGCTATAGCCGAATGTAAACCTAAGGCGGAAACTGAACTTAGGTTTATTAAGAACTGGAATTTCATATTGAAAGCAATTGGGATTATGAAGCAAATTGAATTTCAATACCAAGAGAAATTGGATTGTAAATACGGGATTAATTAATTTTATGAAGAAAATTGGGATTATGAAGCAAATTGATTGTGTTGATCCAAGAATAAGATAAAAAAGTGTGCTTACCTTTTTGTGATTGAAACGGGGGCTTCCTTGTTTTGCGAATTAATCAAAACAGGGAACCCTTTTTGTGTTACAACGGTTACCGATTTTGTTTTCAATGGCTCCATAAAGGTGAGGGAAATTTCTTGTTATTAACAACTGAAACAAAGAGAAAGTGATTGAAAATTTCTACAGAGATGCTTCGATTAGGGGTTTAGGTTTAACTTTCGGTGAGAAAGAAAAAATAGGTGAAATGGGAAAAATAATAGGTAAAAAGGGGTCGGGGTTTAAAAATTGTAAACTTGTGGCGTTTGTAAAAACAAACACCACTAACATACAAGTCTTTAGCAGTATTTGTATAGAAATGCTACTAAAGCACGAGTCTATTACAAACACCACTAAAAGACAAGTCTTTAGCTTAGCGGTGTTTGTATAAAAACGCCAATAAAGTACGAGTATTTAGCGGCGTTTGTATAAAAACGCCAATAAAGTACGAGTCTATAGCTGGGTTTTTACAAAAACGCCACTAAAGTACGAGTCTATAGCGGCGTTTGTCTAAAAACATCACTAAAGTATAGTCTTTAGCGGCGTTTTTATACAAACGCCAATAAAGTACAGTCTTTAGCGGCGTTTGTTTAAAGCGCCGCTATGTACCCATTTTACTATAGTGAGTTAAATAAGATAAACATTTCAAATTCATATTAAATAAAAGCTTTGATAGTTTACATAAGTACAAAATATATGAGTTTACAAAAATCGATCAGAGCATTTTAAATTAAACGTATAATACATGCCAACAATTTATAAAATTAACAAAAACCTACATTTAATTTGTCTTGATCTGATCTTCAAGGTATGCTATCCTCGATAACTCAATATTCCACTTTCTTGAAACCTACGCGTGAGAAAATCACACGCTAAGTCGATGACTTAGTGAGGCAACTACTAGAGTACTAAATTAGTAAACAAAATCTTATTTGTTTTTATTAAAACATTTTATAAGGAACTCTCATTATTTTCGATATCAAAAAGGTATATTCATGTACATTATTCACTTTGTATAGCTTTGTTTTAAATGCCCAATGTATACTACTGAGAACTCTAGGCATTTGAGTATATTGAGGTTGTGCACTAATGTTGTCACCACAGCTCGTAATTTGCACCGAAGTGCCACATAATTATCCCGAAGGACCACATAGGTTGCACTGAAGTGCCACATAGGTTTCCACCGAAGTGCCATATAATTATCCCGAATAACCACATAAACCCTCGACTCTTGGCATACCCTATACCTCTAATCCTCATACATATACCTTGGGTTATTAATCATATAATTATTTTCAATAAGTATTCCAAGTGTTTCTTATTCACATAGTTGCTTTCACATAGGGTTATTTCACATACACTTGTTTAAAGTTCACATTTCCATAATCATATAATCATAAAAATTAGATTATATAATATAAATTGAATAAAACATTGCAATATAACATAAAATAAATTATAAAGTTTTTGATCGAAAACATTGAGGTTGGCTTATCGTAAGCCTTCCTCAATACTATTACAAAACAAGAAGATGCACTCACATTTGCCTCACTAAAGTTCTAAGCAAAATCCTTAATCCCTTCGAATCGGTATTTAATATTTCGAGCTGACCGGAAGTTGATTACGTCAATCACTACACAAAACAATCGAAAATCAATATCGTTCTTCGAATCACTTATTTCCAATTAGAATAACACAAGAAACACTTAATTTCCATTTCATGCCTTGAAGTATTGGTACTAACACTACAATATTGATACTTCTCTTCAGGGGTATCGATACCTCCTCATGGTACCGATACCGTTTTTGCATTCTGTAATTGCTTCTTAAAAAAATGGTATCGATACCTTTCCCCTGGTATCGATACTTCCAACTCAGTATCGACACCCTCTTCAACTGGTATCAATTATATCCTTAAGAAATACATAGATTTATCCCTTGAAGTATCGATATTGTTCTAACGGTACCGATACTCGAAGCCCAGAAAATCTTCCTAATTCTCTTATTTTTATCCCACATTAAACCTTTAAACTCACCCTTATACATTGACACTAACTTGACTTCTTTTATTTCTCCTAATTAATCAAAATCCCGTTTGAACACTTGGATCTCAAAATCATACCAAAATTTCAAACATGTTCTTAACCATTTCTAACACTCCTAACTCTTAAGTTAGATCATTGACAAGTCAAATATCTCATTAAAACTTCAAAAGCTACTCCCTATCAAAATTTTATTTCTAAACTCATTTTATAATTTCATCTCTAATTTACTCATTTTGTTCTTTTAATCCTATATCAGCTTTTCTTAAGCTTATATAACACCCAAGCTTCCAATACCAACCCAAAATTGAAGAAACCATCATATTTACAAAAACATACATTT